AGGCGGCGGCGGTGCGTGTGGTGGCGGGGAGAAGGGAGAGGAGAGAGTTCCTGGTCGATCCATTCGTTTTGGAAAGGGAGCCTTTCAGGGTGCTGATGGAGATGGTGAGGTGCAGAGAGAAGAAGAAGTTGGGCCGACAAGTGGAGGAGGGAGGAGACGCCATATTCGTCGACGTGGACGCCATTTTCTTCGAGCACATGCTCTGGTCTTTCTACAACGATTTCCCTTCTGATTCTTCTTCTTCTTCTTCTTCCCCTCTCTTCCGGCTCAATCTCAGAGATATCATTGAGTTCTATTCCCAGGATTCTTGAATCCTCTGCTTGTTATTCATTTCTTTTTATCTGTTTTTTTAGCAGAGATATGCCAATAAGTTGATTTTTAGTCTTTTTTTTTTCTTTTTTGTGCTGATTTTGGATTATATTTTGTTAACGGATTTTTTTTCTTCTTTTTTTTTTTTCTTGAGGGAATTTATATTAATATCATTGAGTAATTTACTGCTCAATTGATGATGTTTTATTTAATCATTTTATTCTTCAATGCTATTACTATTCATCACTGTTATCTCACTTTGATTGGTTGGTGCTATGCTATCTAAGCAGATTTACTTTTTTTTTTTATGTTGTTAATTTTTATCTATTAATTACGAATAAATGAATATAATGAATAATTAGTCATTTGGCATTCAACCTATATTATTATCAAAAGAAAAATATTCACTGATGTGTGTCGGAAAATCGCGATGGTAGAATAATGAATTAGTGTCTCATCATAGTACGAGATCCAACACATACGCAGATAAAAGAAAAGTAACGAGAGAAGATACCATAATTTTTATGTGAAAAATTTTAGAAAAAAGGGAATTATCAGACCTAGCACAGTCGAAATAATCTACTATGTAATTAAAACTACAATAGATTGAAAATCAGGAGTATTGATTGGTTGCAACGGTCGTAGTATGAAGTTGTGATAGAATTCTTAGACTGCAGAGGCCAGAGTTGGGAGTTGCTTAGTTGTGAGCCACGTAAGACGTAGTTGATCACATATCACATAGTACGTAGTGGGTACAAATGTTGATAGGTCGTAGAGGCCAGAGTTTGGAGTTACATGAGCTGTGAGCCACATAGGTCACGATTTCTCACGTAGGTTGTAATGCTGAGTTGTAATAATGTCTGTAGTCAGCAAATGGTGGAGTTGGGAGCTGTGTGACGTAGGTTGTACTTGATCACGTGGGACATAGCGGGGAGCTATAATAACATTCGTAGGTCGAAGAAGCTGGAGTTGGGAGCTGCATTAGTTGTAAGTCGCATAGATTATAGTTGGTCACATAGGTCGTAGTGGAGAGTTGTAAATATGTCTGTAGGCTGCAGAGTTCAAGGTTGGAATATTCATGAGCTATGAGTCAAGTAGGTCATAGTTGGTCACATGGTCATAGTGGAAGGTTATAGTAG